GACTAAACACCTCCCTCTGCAACTGGATCCTGGACTTCCTAACGGGCCGCCCCCAGGTGGTAAGGGTAGGTAACAACACATCTGCCACGCTGATCCTCAACACGGGGGCCCCTCTGGGGTGCGTGCTCAGTCCCCTCCTGTACTCCCTGTTCACCCATGACTGCATCAGGCACGACTCCAACACCATCATTAAGTTTTCCGACGACACAACAGTGGTAGGCCTGATCACCGACAACGACGAGACATCCTATAGATAGGAGGTCAGAGACCTGGCCGTGTGGTGCCAGGATAACAACCTCTCCCTCAACGTGATCAAGACAAAGGAGATGATTGTGGACTACAGGAAAAAATTATAATCGACGGGCTGTAGTGGAACAGGTTGAGAGTTTCAAGTTCCTTGGTATCCACATCACCAACAAACTATCATGGTCCAAACACACCAAGACAGTCGTGAAGAGGGCACGACAAAGCCTATTCCCCCTCAGGAGACTGAAAAGATTTGGCATGGGTCCTCAGATCCTCAAAAAGTATGGCCCAGTACATCACTGGGGCCAAGGTTCCTGCCATCCAGGACCTCTATACCAGGCGGTGTCAGAGGAAGTCCCTAAAAATGGTCAAAGACTCCAGCCACCCTAGTCATAGACTGTTCTCTCTGCTACCGCATGGCAAGCAGTACCGGAGCGCCAAGTCTAGGTCCAAAAGGCTTCTTAACAGCTTCTACCCCCAAGCCATAAGACTCCTGAACAGCTAATCATGGCTACCCGGACAAATTGCATTGCCCCCACACCCCACCCCAATCCCCTCTACGCTGCTGCTACTCTGTTTATTATTTATGCATAGTCACTTTAACTCTACCCACATGTACATATTACCTCAATTACTATTTTGTACTTAACACCTTTTTTTTTCTTTTTTTTTAACGGCATTGTTGGTTAAGGGCTTGTAAGTAAGTATTTCACTGTAAGGTCTACACCTGTTGCATTCGGCGCATGTGGCAAATAAAATTTGATTTGATTTGATGTGACAAATACAATTTGATATGATTTGATAGGTTGGAGGACATCCTCCGGAAGTTGTCATAATTACTGTGTAAGTCTATGGAAGGGGTGAGAACCATGAGCCTCCTAGGTTTTGTATTGAAGTCAATGTACCCAGAGGAGGACAGAAGCTAGCTGTCCTCCGGCTACACCATGGTGCTACCCTAGAGAGTGCTGCTGAGGCTACTGTAGACCTTCATTGCAAAACAGTGTGTTTTAATGCATTATTTGGTGATATGTGAATATATTTAGTATAGTTTTATCTAAAACTGATAACTTTTTTAATGTTTCACTATTTAGATTTTTATGAAATTCACTGAGGTCCTCCTCTTCCTCCTCTGAGTTTTGTTGAAAAGGAAATACGTCATATAAAATATTTCATATTTGTATCATATTTGTACTATGTACTTGAGCTTGTGTCCTCAAAAGTGAGTACACCTCAGAAATGTATAACTATTTTCACCAGAACGGATTGATTGTAATCTTTCTGGCAGTATAAACATTGCTAGTTATTGTTTATGGCCCTCTCATGATAAATAACTACTTTTAGCAATGTCTATTTAGGTGGAAATCTACATTTTAGATTACATCTAACAAGTTTAGTCAATAAAATGGCTAAAAATGAGCTATTGTGGAGAGCTGGGACACAGCAGGCTATACAGTAGGACTACAGTAGCAGGCAATAAGAAATTAAAACAGACACTTGTGGATATACTGACTTAAATAAGACTATTTTTTTGCATGATGTGGAGAGGTTTCAGTGACCAAACTTCAGACATATGATTCTGATACTCTTCTCTATCTGAGCGCAATCAGTGTTTTTAAATTAATCTACAATTTGTGGCACTTGGGAAATGTATAGTGCTGTCCCAGCTAGCAAATTTGGTTCACTGGAAGATGTAGGAATGTACGTTTTTGATTTCCCATTGGTTCTGGGAGTGAAGCCATAAGTTTCCCCTGACTAGTAATGAATTGGTGCAGGATACCCAGTCAGCACATAACGTTCTGAGAACCATATGTTTCTTAGGTGGGAATTTCAGTACTTTCAGTGAGAACGAAAGTGAACATTTCACATGTTCTGGGAACATACATTTTTAGGTTGCAGGGAGGTTCTGAGAACGTTTTACTATGATTCCCTGAAAGTTTTCCTGGGAGGTTTTATTAACATTCTGAAAATGGAATTTATAGGTTATTTGAAGGTAATTCAATAACGTTCTGAGAACATGTTTCAATAAGACTTTCAATAAAACTGCTAGCTTAGTTTGGGTTAACTGTTTTGAACTCCAAGCACAGATAGGACATATGGAAATCAATTTGCTTATCATGCAAACACATTTCTTTTTTATTGTGGCACAGCATCAGTGAAATTCAAACCTATGATCTTCTGTTCTCTAATCCATGGAATTAGTCCACTGCACCAACAGGATGGAGGTAGCATGCTATACTTTTTTTAAACTGATACAAAGCTGTTCATTTGAGTCTATTCAAACAGAGCCCAAACAAGCACTCATTAAGAGCAGGTGTGGCCAATTAGTGGGCGCGGCCAACATACCTGAACACACATAACAAGATAGAGGAGAGAGTTTTGTTGACGCTAAGAATGGAATGTATATGTTTTTTAAATACAATTCTTAGAACGTTATTTGAATGTTACTAATGTCTTCTTGTGGTTTTATGGAACGTTTTCTTCATGTTCTGAAAATATGACTTTAAATAGAAGCAGAAAACATTATGCTGAAGTACTGAAATTCCCACAGAAGAATGTTGTTTCTTAACGTTCTCTGCACGTTCTGAGAACATTACTTTAAATAGAACCATGAGGAAACCTGTAGGAAACTTTATGCTGAAGTACTGAAATTCCCACCTAAGAAACATGTGGTTCTCAGAACGTTATGTGCTGTCTGGGTTAGGTTTGCCAACCTGTGCCAGTAAAGTGGGTTATGAGAGCCAAGGAACCACAGCTGAGGTATTGAACAGCTATTACGAATGGGCATACCTAGGCCTACAGTAGCTGCCCTACTGTGACCTCCATTACTGCTACTGTACATGTCTTAGTATTTTATTAGGATCCCCACTCTTCCTGGGATCCAAACAGGAAACAAAACACAACAAAATACATAAATACATAATATACATGACACTACATAATACAATACATAATACAATGCAAAATACAATACAAAATATATAAAAATGTATGCGTCTCTTCACAGTCCCTGTCATGCTGAAAGGTGTTATTTTATCTTCTTTTTTATCTGGTTTTATTGCTAGCTTCAGTTACCTGGGGTGGCAGAGAGTTCCATGTAGTCATTGCTCTACTTAATATTGTGCGTTTCCCAGCCTTTGTTCTGGACTGTGAAGTGACTTCTGGCTGCATGTCTTGTGTGATACCGAACTGTGTGACAACTGCTTGAACAGACAGTTCAGTACCTTTAACCCATCAACACCTCGCACAAAGACCAATAGTGATGCAGTCAATCTCTCCTCAACTTTGAGCCAGGAGAGATTGACATGCATACCACTGACATTCGCCCTCTGTGTACATCTAAGTGCAATATGTGCTGCTCTGTTCTGGACCAACTGCAATTTTCCTATGTCCTTCTTTGTCGCACATGACTACACAACTGGGCAGTGGTCCAGGTGCGACAAAACTAGGGCCTGTAGAACCTGCCTGGTTGATTCAGATGCCAAGGGTGGCAGTATATTCTGGACCTGACTGTCCATGTGTCTAAAATCACCAACAGGCCACATTGACTTGGGCTCACATGATTGGTACGTTTTCTACAATTCAGGATATGACTAAATCCTCAAATGTGTCCAACTTATACATTCAATTATGAAATGTTAATTTTATCTACACACTATGCGTTCAACCTGGACTCAGGGGAGGACATAACATAGTATACGAAAATCCGGGCCACTCAAATTAGTATGCTATGTTAACGTTTGGTAGGGTATGTATTAATTTTATGATATGTTACAAATTGCAATTCATACCATATGTTTCACATTTGCAATATATATTATATGTTACGAATTTCCAATTTGTTAAGACTAACGTTATCTAGGTGGCTAACTCTAACATTAGCTAGGTGGCTAACGTTAGCTACTGTAGGCTAGGGCTTAGGGGTTAAAGTTAAGGTTAGGAGCTAGGTTAAAGGGTTAAGGTTAGGGTTAGGGGAAGAGTTAGCTAACATGCTAAGTAGTTGCAAAGTAGCTACGAAGTTGTAAGTAGTTGTAAAGTTGCTAATTAGCTAAAATGCTAAAGTTGTCCGTGATAAGATTCGAACATGCAACCTTTGGGTTGCTCGATGTTTTTGTTATATGCCCAGCCATCCACCCCCCTTTTGTTGTTGCCTTAACTAACCTTCTGTCTTATGTAACCATACCAAACGTAACATATCAAACTAATTTGAGTGTCCCAGATTTGTTTACTATGTTAGTCTAAACCAAGCTGATACTTTAAACAACGTCCATTACATCACAGTCGGTGGTGTGCATTGCAACTTCACTTTCTCACTGTTGGGGAGAACTATAAACAGCTGACATGGGCCCATAAATCAAAATAACAGCTTGCTCCTATGATAGAAGCACAGGTAGTCTTTCTGTACTGTAAGTGTCCATTCCCGGAGGAGAGAGTGATGAGGGAGGCCTCAATGTATGGCAAGATCTTCCAAGCCTGGTAACCTTGGTTACTATACATTTACATGTACATTTACGTCATTTAGCAGACGCTCTTATCCAGAGCTATGACACTCCATGCAACAGGAGCGACACTTACATAACAGATCTGTTTAAACAAAGCCCTTTTTTTTCTTCAAATATATTTTATTTTATATTTGATCAACAATACAAAATATACACATACAAACGACAACATCATACAAACATCCACGACATCACCCCTGCCCAGACCCACTAGCACACAGCCCCATCTCCAGCGCCCGCATCACTTTCTGTCACATGGCCTCAAACTGCACCATTTTGATTCTCTCCGTCGCCCACTTACTTTCAATTTTTAGATAATAAAGCAGTTTACCTTTTCATTGTGTTAACAAGGACCACATTTTTATTATCAAGATCATCATTTCAGAAGAATCGTACAGTACATGCAATGTGGACATCCTGAGAGTGAGCTAACTACTACAACACAAGAGGTGTCACTTTACAATAACGATCATTTTACAACCGCATTAAATTATATAGTTCCCGATACTGTACAATTCATACACCCGTTTTATCATTCTAACCTGCAGGTGTGTGAGGTCCATAGAACTCTTATTTGCCTTGATATCAATCATGATCTTATTGGTGTTTTGTAACTATTTCATACCTCTCCATACAATATGCCAATTGTAACAAGAGTATCAAGAGACGTAATCTGTATCGAGAGGCATCACCGACAATTGGGGAGCAAAAGAGGTATACCGTAAGTTCTCACATCAATAATAGTCATATACCAGCACAACTACTGTAACATGATAAACCCTAATGAAGCTTGATTCCCTTTCAGGCTCTACATTAAAACATCCTGAAAGGGTCGTCTAAAAACTCTGCTCACAAACATAACAGAAACTTCTTCCAAACCACAGAGACCTCTGAAAACAAAATATATTAGTATAAATACCAACGAGACAATCTCTGTGTTCATAATTTACCATCAGCCTCAGAATTAGTTAAATCTTAGGCCTGAAAAGGCCTTTGTCAAAGAGAGACAGTACAGGGACTCTGTTCAGGAAGAGAGATGGGCTCTGTCACTAAGAACCTACACCTCAGTACTGACAGACTGTCTAGCTATTTTATCACAGTCCAAACCAGCCCTAATCTAACCTACATTAAATCCCTTACTTTAATTAACTACTTAATTGTTACTGGACTGGGCAGAACCTTTTCCATGTCCATTTCGATATCCAAAAGGCAAAGGTATTTAGAGCACAAACACAAGTGCTCTGAAAGCTTACTTGTAATATAACTTTTCATTCATATTTCTACAGAAACAGATTGGCTAAGTTAATTGCTAAGAACATTTGAAGCGGAGAGCTTACTGGTATACCATTAGCATGTCTGAACATGTCCAAATGTACACACCCTAAAACAAGATAAATTACAATTTCACCATTGTGGTTTGTAGATCAGAGTTCACTCCAGTCCAAACCCCTCTGCGTTTGAAATGGCAATAGTTAACTTCTGCTTCAGTTCTTTTTTATTTTTGTATGGTGGCAGGCAGATCTGGTTGAAACAAGTGTGAGATATAGGCAACCTGGAGAGGAAGAAAAGGTAAATGATAAATTCACATTTGTTCACAGTTGCTGTTCTGTCTAAATCAAATGGGACAATAGCAACTGATTAAAGGGTCTTCTTTTTTCAACATGTTTAAAATGAATAAGAAAGAACACTGAGGACATCTGCAGTATCTCACCAGTCGGTGGATGCATCAATCTTGGAGATCTTGAAGTTGAGGTCGGCCATTCCTCCCACGGGGACGCGGTCACTTCCTGTTGAGAAATGTAGCAGCTTCTTCTGGAGCTCCAGAGGGAAGGCCAGCACCACGTCCCAGAATGCCCTGACCACAGAGACAGACAATTGAACTCATTAGGTGCATTACTTTAGGGTTAGGCACAACTATTATTAATTTGAATCAGGGATGGGCAACTGGCGGCCCTCCTTTTGAAGGCCCTCAGATCAATCCCCCCCCGCCCCCCCAAAAAATATCTATCTATCTATCTATCTATCTATAGTGCCTTCAGAAAGTATTCTCACCCCTTGACTTTTTCCACATTTTGTTGCGCTACAGCCTGAATTTAAAAAGGATTAAATTGAGATGTTTTTGTCACTGGCCTATACACAATACACCATAATGTCAAGGTGGAATTATGTTTTCCATTTTTTTTTAAACTAATTAATTAAAAACGAAAAGCTGAAATGTCTTGAGTCAATAAGTATTCAACCCCTTTGTTATGGCACCCCTAAATATGTTCAGGAGTAAAAACGTTCTTAACAAGTCACATAATACATTGCATGGAAATAGTGTTTAACATGATTTTTGAATGACTGCCTCATTGCTGTACCCCACACATACAATTATCTTTAAGGTCCTTCAATCGAGCAGTGAATTTCTAACACATATTCAACCACAAAGACCAGGGAGGTTTTCAAATGCCTCGCAAAGAAGGGCACCTATTGGTAGATTGGTAAAAACCCTTGAATGAGTAGGTGTGTCTAACATTTTGACTGGTACTGTATACTGAACAAAAATATAAACACAACATGTAAAGTGTTGGTCCCATGTTTCATGAGTTTAAATAGAAGATCCTATAAATGTTCCATATGCACAAAAACTTATTTCTCTCTCTCTCTCTATTTTGTGCACAAATGTGTTTAAATCGCTGTTAGTGAGCATTTCTCCTTTGCCATATCCACCTGACAGGTGTGGCATATCAAGAAGCTGATTAAACAGCATGATCATTACACAGGTGCACCTTGTGCTGAGGACAATAAAAGGCCACACTAAAATGTGCAGTTTTGTCATACCACACAATGCCACAGATGTCTCAAGTTTTGAGGGAGTGTGCAATTGGCATGCTGACTGCAGGAATGTCCACCAGAGCTGTTGCCAGAGAACTGAATGTTAATTTCTATACCATAAGCCACCTCCAATGGCATTGTAGAGGATTTGACAGTACGTCTAACCAGCCTCACAACCGCAGACCACATGTAACCACGCCAGCCCAGGACCTCCACATTCGTCTGACACCAGCCACCTGGACAGCTGATGAAACTGAGGAGTATTTCTGTCTGTAATAAAGCCCTTTTGTGTGGAAAAACTAATTCTGATTGGCTGGGCCTGGTTCCCAGTGGGTGGGCCTGGCTCCCAAATGGGAGGGCCTATGCCCTCCCAGGCCCACCCATGGCGGCGCCCCTGCCCAGTCATGTGAAATCCATAGATTAAGGCCTCATTAATTTATTTCAATTGACTGATTTGCTTATATGAACTGTAACTCAGTAAAATCGTTTTGGGGAGGGGGGAGGGGGTAGATCAGCTTTAATACTGCAGATAGATTGTAGCGTCCATCAATGTAATTGGCTGCATCATTTCCAATCCCCCATATATTTTTTTGTTAATATATATACAGTGCCTTCGGAAACTATTCAGACCCCTTGACTTTTTCCACCTGTTGTTACGTTACAGCCTTATTCTAAAATGGATCAAATGTTTTTTTCCCCTCATCAATCCACAGACAATACCCCATAAAGAGAAAGCAAAAACACGTTTTTAGAAATGGTAATATCACATTTACATAAGTATTTCAGACCCTTTACTCAGTACTTTGTTGAAGCACCTTTGGCAGCGATTACAGCATCGAGTCTTCTTGGGTATGACACTACAAGCTTGGCACACCTTTATTTGTGGAGTTTCTCCCATTCTTCTCTGAAGATCCTCTCAAGCTCTGTCAGGTTGGATGGGGAGCGTTGCTGCACAGCTATTTTCAGGTCTCTCCAGAGATGTTCGATCGGGTTCAAGTCCGGGCTCTGGCTGGGCCACTCAAGAACATTCAGAGACTACATCTCTCTGTACTTTGCGCCGTTCATCTTTGCCTCGATCCTGACTAGTCTCACAGTCCCTGCCGCTGAAAAACATCCCCACAGCATGATGCTGCCACCACCATGCTTCACCGTAGGGATAGTGCCAGGTTTCCTCCAGGCGTGACGCTTGGCATTCAGGCGAAAGAGTTCAATCTTGGTTTAATCAGAACAGAGAATCTTGTTTCTCATGGTCTGAGAGTCTTTAGCTGCCTTTTGGCAAACTCCAACGGGCTATCATGTGCCTTTTATTGAGGAGTGGCTTCCATCTGGCCACTCTACCATAAAGGATTGATTGGTGGAGTGCTGCAGAGATGGTCGTCCCTCTGGAAGTTTCTCCCATCTCCACAGAGGAACTCTAGAGCTCTGTCAGAGTGACCATCAGGTTCTTGGTCACCTCCCTGACCAAGTCCATTCTCCCCCGATTGCTCAGTTTGGCCGGGCGGCCAGCTCTAGGAAGAGTCTTGGTGGTACCAAACATCTTCCATTTAAGAATGATGGAGGCCACTGTGTTCTTGGGGACCTTCAATGCTGCAGAAATTTTTTGGTACCCTTCCCAAGATCTGTGCCTCGACACAATCCTGTCTCGGAGCTCTACGGACAATTCCTTCGACCTCATGGCTTGGTTTTTGCTCTGACATGCACTGTGGGACCTTATATAGACAGGTGTGTGCCTTTCCAAATAATGTCCAATCAATTGAATTTACCACTGGTGGACTCCAATCAAGTTGTAGAAACATCTCAAGGATGATCAATGGAAACAGGATGCACCTGAGCTCAATTTCGAGTCTCATAGTAAAGTGGCTGAATACTTATGTAAATAAATATTTCTGTAGTCTAAAAACCAGTTTTCGCTTTGTCATTATGGGGTATTGTGTGTAGATTGCTGAGGATTATTATTTTTTCATCCATTTTAGAGTAAGGCTGTAATGTAACAAAATGTGGAAAAAGTCAAGGGGTCTGAATACTTTCCGAAGGCACTATATATATATATATATATATATATATATATATATATATATATATATACAGTGTGTGTGGGGGGGGGGGGGGGGGGTTGGTATGGATGTGGGAATGTAGACCCGCGAGCAACTGCGGCCCCTCAGATTTTTTGTGGCCCCCATCAACATTGTCCATCCCTGCTTTAAATGCACCATCTCGGGTATTTCCTGCTCTTCAATGGTCATTTAGAAACTCAGGATTATTACTTTAATATCTATGAGAAATCAGGCCCTTTTTACAAAATGAATGACATGATGATGGGTTTACAGTACCTGATGGTGGGATCAGCCTTGCTATAGCCTTCGTACTGTGCTGCCTTCTGCAGAGTGTTCATGTCCAGGTTGGGACTGCCACACACCAGGATCTCCACCTCCTCTGGCCTCAACAACTACAACAAGAGGGACAAGACAAGGAGTCAATATCATGGTAGTCTGACAAGTAAAACTACAGGATATGAAACTACAGGACACATGGGATTCCAGTGAAACTACAGGATTTCACAAGACAACCAGTCACTACCATCCTACTTGGCACAGACGTCAATTCAATGTCTATTCCACGTTGGTTCAACATCATTTCATTGAAATGATGTGGAAACAACTTTGATTCAACTAGTGTGTGCCCAGTGGGATGGGATTTTGTCCATTAAAGAGCAACTGCCCCTTAAAACCAACTTCTCATTTACAAAACAGCCTGGTTGGCATCAATATGAGTCAGAAAGAGTTATTCTACTGTCAAAATTGACTACAAAGTGTAAATAGGATAATTCTGGTCATAAAGTCACTCTCGTTTTGGACGAGCGTAAATGAAAGTTGAGTTTGAAAGTTGAGTTTGGTTTAAATTCTGCCCACATGCCCACAGCTGGCAGCACACAAGTAATCATCAATTCGGAGTACAGCTGCACGCGACCTGATCGTAATGCTTGTGGTCAATTTGGGTTGACTTTGGATATCCCTATAGGGCTGGTTAGGGACCATCTGTAAAATTATACAATGTAAATGGAAAATATGTTTAAAAAATCCAATAGCTCCACATTTCAATGACTTAAAAACCTCAAACCAACTATAAATTGTAGAAATTCATATACAAATATTGAAAGCAATTCATGAGAAAACTAAAAGGTGTGCAACATGAAAATATTGTCTCATTTACATTGTGTAATTTATTGACGGTCCCTAACTAGCCCCAGAGCTAGGCTATCCAAAGTCAAACCAACTTTGCCACAGTTGCCTGAAACTAATTGCTAGCTTTTCTTATTAATGAACCAAATATAAAACGAGGCCAAATCAGGAAGTGCAGTTGCCCTTTAAAACTAACCTACTGCATGACACAAGACAATTAGTTACTACCATGGTAGTCTGAATCATGAATCCCTGTTCATTGCACCAGTGCTGCACAAAAATGTTTACTTAAACAGTAAGGGCATGGGGTGCATGATCAGAGTGCCATATGCATGGTTCATCGTGTCACACACTGTCTAAACTGTATTTATCAGATACAGTATCCAATCTGTTGCTAACTTGATACATTGGTCCTCATTTTGCAAACCCTATTTGACATAGTTGCATATTTTCTCTGTATCACTCTGTCCTTGACCACTTTCACTCCCATGCACTCTTCACATCCGTGACTCCACCTTATCAAAACACACCCAGACGGCTGTGTCAGGCAGTGCACGGAGTGCAAACAGAAATACAACCTGGTGACTAGCTAGAGCAAGCCAAGCCAACGGCAAGATCCAGCTGGGATATAGAGTTACAGAAGAATCTGGGACGATCCAAACCTTGTCTGCCACACCCCCTCTTCCCTCACCCCACCAGGCAGCCAGTGAGTTATAACTGTCACAGCAGCGTTGCATAACCAATGAGAGGGTAGACAACTGTTGCATAACTGTCACAATGGGCTGGTTTGAAAGTCGATTGCTTTCGCTGTCGTGGGGCCATGTGGTGGGCTATAGCTGACTTTTCCTACATGTACATTACATGTTTCCATCCCACTGTCACACTATCATTGACCAGCATGAACATACATGTATAGTATGAGCCTGTTTATATGAGAAAACACTGCCTTGGAAAGCAAAGAGGGAAAATCTCCCGATTTGCAAGAACTGAGTGGACTAATACAGATGTAGGATCTTAATTTGAGCCAGTTTGCTACAGCAGCAAAATAATCCTGCAGCAACAGGAAATGTGAATTATTATGTGGATGATAATTTATGGATATGTTTGTAGGGGTTGATACATTTTTTGTAATGGAAAATCAAGTCTGACATTTTTAAGTGGAAATTATAAACTTCAGATGCCTTTTTAAACCTCAAATACACTTCAAGTTTTTAAATGTCCTGCATTGCAGGAAAGTTCTCCTGCAACAGGTTGATCAAATGTAGATCCTACATTTGTAGATAGCACTACTAGAACTAAAAATAGAACCAGGTCTGCACATATCTACAGTGGGGAGAACAAGTATTTGATACACTGCCGATTTTGCAGGTTTTCCTACTTACAAAGCATGTAGAGGTCTGTAATTTTTATCATAGGTACACTTCAACTGTGAGAGAAAATCCAGAAAATCACATTGTATGATTTTTAAGTAATTCATTTGCATTTTATTGCATGACATAAGTATTTGATACATCAGAAAAGCATAACTTAATATTTGGTACAGAAACCTTTGTTTGCAATTACAGAGATCATACGTTTCCTGTAGGTCTTGACCAGGTTTGCACACACTGCAGCAGGGATTTTAGCCCACTCCTCCATACAGACCTTCTCCAGATCCTTCAGGTTTCGGGGCTGTCGCTGGGCAATACGGACTTTCAGCTCCCTCCAAAGATTTTCTATTGGGTTCAGGTCTGGAGACTGGCTAGGCCACTCCAGGACCTTGAGATGCTTCTTACGGAGCCACTCCTTAGTTGCCCTGGCTGTGTGTATCGGGTCGTTGTCATGCTGGAAGACCCAGCCACGGCCCATCTTCAATGCTCTTACTGAGGGAAGGAGGTTGTTGGCCAAGATCTCGCGATACATGGCCCCTTCCATCCTCCCATCAATACGGTGCAGTCGTCCTGTCCCCTTTGCAGAAAAGCATCCCCAAAGAATGATTTTTCCACCTCCATGCTTCACGGTTGGGATGGTGTTCTAGGGTTGTACTCATCCTTCTTCTTCCTCCAAACACGGCGAGTGGAGTTTAGACCAAAAAGCTCTATTTTTGTCTCATCAGACCACATGACCTTCTCCCATTCCTCCTCTGGATCATCCAGATGGTCATTGGCAAACTTCAGACGGGCCTGGACATGCGCTGGCTTGAGCAGGGGGACCTTGCGTGCGCTTCAGGATTTTAATCCATGACGGCGTAGTGTGTTACTAATGGTTTTCTTTGAGACTGTGGTCCCAGCTCTCTTCAGGTCATTGACCAGGTCCTGCCGTGTAGTTCTGGGCTGATCCCTCACCTTCCTCATGATCATCGATGCCCTACGAGGTGAGATCTTGCATGGAGCCCCAGACTGAGGGTGATTGACCGTCATCTTGAACTTCTTCCATTTTCTAATAATTGCGCCAACAGTTGTTGCCTTCTCACCAAGCTGCTTGCCTATTGTCCTGTAGCCCATCCCAGCCTTGTGCAGGTCTACAATTTTAACACTGATGTCCTTACACAGCGCTCTGGTCTTGGCCATTGTGGAGAGGTTGGAGTCTGTTTGATTGAGTGTGTGGACAGGTGTCTGTTATACAGGTAACGAGTTCAAACAGGTGCAGTTAATACAGGTAATGAGTGGAGAACAGGAGGGCTTCTTAAAGAAAAACTAACAGGTCTGTGAGAGCCGGAATTCTTTCTGGTTGGTAGGTGATCAAATACTTATGTCATGCAATACAATGCAAATGAATTACTTAAAAATCATACAATGTGATTTTCTGGATTTTTGTTTTAGATTCCGTCTCTCACAGTTGAAGTGTACCTAAGATAAAAATGACAGACCTCTACATGCTTTGTAAGTAGGAAAACCTGCAAAATCGGCAGTGTATCAAATACTTGTTCTCCCCACTGTAACTACTGGCAAAATTATATGTTAGTGCTGGTGCAACAAAAGCTGAGAAGACCATATAAAGTAGATTGACACAGGGATTTCTGTTTTAGTCTCAAGGCAAAAAGAAAAAGCTCAGGGCAATTTGTAATTGGAGACCCCATTCAGTTTAGTCATCGTGACAAATTATATTGTATTGTATGCTGTTGAAAATGATATTGCTGGTTTCTATTTTTGTGTTTCTTTTCTATCTACAGTATCCAAAATGGATGGAATCAGCATGCTAAACTTGCTGCAAAGGGAAAAGCATTTAGGATAATTAATGTTTAACTGTGGTTTGTGGTGGGGTTGGTTAGGTTGTGGTGTACAGTAAATACCAACTCTGGCATTCACTGACACGTACACCAAACAGATAATTGAACAGTAAAATATTTGTTTTTGCTGGTGCAGCATAATCCTTGTCCAGACAGATACTAATGACAGCAATAAAACAATGAGGGAAATGTTCATCCCTGAGCTCACTGCTGTCAGCTCATCTGACAGTTCACTGCACAGTTAATTGCAGTACCCTAGTCTATTTTAATCTTGTCCATTTTAATTGATTCTAATTGATTGATTACTCCAGGGGTACTGAAATACTATTTGAAAGGGTCCATTCACACACATTTCCTAGGTGGCAAAAGTCTGGATGTATATTGCCAATAATGGAAACACTTGAGTAAATGAGGGATACAAAGTATATCGATAGCAGGTACTTCCACACAGGTCTGGTTCCTGAGTTAATTAAGCAATTAACATCCCATCATGCTTAGGGTTATGAATAGAAATGCTGGGCAGGCCATTATTTTGGCTACCATGGCTGAGCCCCCATACGATGACAATGCCCCCATCCACAGGACACGAGTGATCACTGAATGGTTTGATGAGCATTAAAAAGGTTTAAACCATATGCCATGGCTGTCTCAGTCACTAGATCTCATCCCAATTGAACACTTATGGGAAATTCTGGCGCGGCGCCAGAGACAGCGTTTTTCACTACCATCAACAAAACAACAAATGATGGAATTTCTCATGGAAGAACGGTGTCTCATTCCTCCAATAGAGTTCCAAACACTTGTAGAATCTATGCCAAGGTACATTGAAGCTGTTCTGGCTCGTGGTGGCCCAATGCCCTATTAAGACACTTTATGTTGGTGTTTCCTTTATTTTGTCAGTTACCTGTATATATTTCACTCCTTGCTAGTTACACAGTACGTTGATAGGTTTCTGTCAGCAGATCAGTGAGGATACTCACAGGGCTCACAGAGTCTAGCAACAGTTAAGGAACTATTGGGAAACCAACTGACAACGACCAGAGTGATCCAGCTCCTCCCATGTTAAACCATGCAAATCTAACCCTAAAGCTGGGCTGGTTCTGCATCAATACAGCAGCTTTGTGGTCTGTCTGATTGATATTCATGGTGTATGTCAACCCTGCCACTGTGGTTCCCTACGTACTCTTTATATAGGCCACTCATACGAGCCTCCCCCTTTTGGCCCAAAGAGCTCTGGTCACTGAGTGGAGACAGAGCACACACACAACACCCCCGTTAGGAGGCCTGTGCCAAGAGAGGGGGTGGGGAGCTCCTGTGAACAGGCAGCGAGGAACAGTAGACTCACTCACACACATGCATGCACTCACAGTTGTGTGTGTGTACACACACACACACACATCACACGTGCACACACAGCTGAGGTTCAAATCCTGCACTCCTCGTTGCCTCTCTGGGCCTCACACTCCCTATGTTGCCTAATCAGGAACTTTCTACAAGAGTTGACTAAACTATCGGCTCCTGACACTTCAAACAGGACCAGCTGGCACTGAACTGCAGCACAATAAATGATGTCCTCTCACTTTCTCAGTGATAGTGATATACTGTATTCCAAAAACCTATAATGACAGTTGGAATTCATAATGTTTTTCTACAGTTGGTCACACCAATTAGAACTAATTTATTCATTCATTTTGACAGTAAAAGTCTTGACATTCTTACCATCAAAGCGTCGGAGGCACACACACTGTGGAAGCCATAGTAGAAGGCAGCAAACTGCCTGTAAATGGACTTATTCAGCAGGAAATCTATGTACAGCTGGACATACTCTGCAAAGACAAGAATAATCAAACAATCATTCAACTATGAGAGAACAAACAAATGCCACATAGTCTGAAAGGCAGTGTACAGTGTACTGTTAGATATCACATGCTACTGCAGGACAGTTGTCTTTTCTCTGGTCTTTGGCAGTCTGTCTACTCCTCACTTACCCTTCCTGTTCTGGTTGGTGACAGGAATCTTATCTCCTCCTGGTTTCAGATTGTAGGACTTCATCACACCTAGTTCTTCCTGCGACACCTAAAATGATCATCACATTAGTGGAGCACTTCCCTTGTGCTGTGACAGTATGTATTATGGTGACGTCAAAGATATTATGTTTCAAAAGTGTTATTGTGAACAAGAATGAGTGTGTTTTCCCAACCTGAAAAGTTGTGCAGAAGTCCTCCTCCACGTTGCCTTCATAGCTGAGAAGTTCTGCCAGCCCATGAGCAAGATCCTGAAACACAAGACCAAATCTATAAGCATTGCTTTTTATATAGATTGCAACCAATATTTATGAGGTATATGTCTTCTTCTAAATCTGTGAAGGACTAATAGAAAAAGTGCCAAGGTGGGAACGTCTATACAGCACATTACACTATGTTCATAGAATGTTTTATGGAGGAAAATCTGACTTCATTTTATTATTGACATCTAATGACTGACTTTTCTTTACTGAATTACTGTAATGGCATTGTAACACAAAACAACAAGAAAATCATGTAAAGCCTTTGCCACTACACAATCTAGGAAACGTATTGAGGAAACAAAATAACCATTGTATGCTATATGTATTGTACATGACATCACTGCGATTATGCTTTTCCAATCCATACCTCATCAAATTAAGTACATTTTACAATGCAAAATCATTTGAAGAACAATTGCATGTGTTTGACGTCAGTGCTGGGCACTACTGGCATGTCTTTTTAAAGAGTTGCAGTAGCTTTTTCCCTGTCCTCCACCAATTTAGGAAAAAGTATTCAACAGGGACCAAATAAACTCCCAGAGGCTGTTATGTAAGCAAAGAGAAGGCCAACTGCCCAGTAAAAAACAACATCTGGCCTCAGCAAGGCTGACTCGACAAAACGCAGCGCAATGAGATGCATACTGCATAAAAAGCTATACAATTACACCAAAAGCAGGTAAATACTAGTCTTAGTGACAGTAATGTATTGTATGTGCATAAAGCATTTTTATATGATTAACATACATTTGGTTTGTTCTTTTGAATTTGTAGAGTTCAAACATGCAAGTGGCGATGTGCAAAAGTTAGGCTTAACAGCCCTCTGCTGGTGAATATTGGAAAATGTCAATCACTGACTAGCAAATGAAAAATCAACATATGAGGAACTACAGGATGATATAAGGAAATATTATATCAACAAAGCATAACTTTGACGGCAATTGCAGAATATTAATTTGCAGTTCATCAAAAAAGATAAAGAAAAGCATGTTATGTCACGTGAACTGTATCTCTCCTCTCCATCTCTCCTCCTAGACAGGTAACAAACTACAGCTAGCCTGGCATCCTTGAATCTTCCTGTTCAATAAAAAAGCTGCCTTCACCAGGAGATCTTAATAAGCAGTGTTGGGCTGCTATGTGTGACATCTATGGGCAGGGATCTATCACTGGTGTGTCTGAGGTGATGATGGGAGTAATGACACCTCTGAGACCTAGCTGCAGCTGCAGCTCAGTGCCATCTCACCTTGGCTGCAGCCATACTGTTATAATTAGACTGGTGGCAGGGTGAGACTCTGGGACTGTATGGAGTGTGAACCTGGTTGATTATTTCACACTCCTGTGACGCACAAGCATTTCCTTAGATCCCATGCATCAATAGTGCAATGTATGCACTATGACTCCCATAATTAGAAGTACATTATTTATGTTTATTGCATGTATTCCTGTACATTTAGCTATAAGTAGGAACAATAGCATATTGCAGTTAATTCTAACACAGTCTATATAACATCTTAGTCTAGCAACCATACATCCCCCACTAGGTACAGACATCAATTGAACGTTTATTCCACGTTGGTTCAACGTCATTTCATTGAAAACTAAGTGGAAACAACATTGATTCAACCAGCCATATTCATATACCGATCAACACTATACCCTTCAGAGACAATGTTAACCTTTCTAAAACAGGGCAGTCCTCTCATAAGCATCACATCCATTAATTTGATTGTATAAATTATTATAATTGAAAAGCGGAGTACTTTGCAAGTACAAAAATGTTACTTTCCCATGGTTTTTGACCACTGCAAGCAATATTCTTGTACTTGTGATCCTTACAAGAAGAGTGCAGTGTAATTGGAAAGAATGCCAGTGAGAGAGGGTAACTAAGACAGCTGAGTCATAGCTTGTGTTGTGTACATACAGGCATGACCTGCTGCAGGTCGTCCAGGGTGAGGGTCGCCATGCCAACGGGGGTATCGGGGTCACACGGCACCACGGGCGGGGTCAGCAGCTTCTTGTAGACACAGGGGGGGAAGCGGATGTCCAGGGTGATGCTGTTGTACACGGCCAGGCCCATGAGCTGACACACATACAGTTAAGTGTGTAACAAAGTCTGTATAGAAAGCAGCAGATCCTTTACAATAGAAAGCAAGTATCTTAAACACCAAATAACTCACGGTTATAATCATATACACCACTAGAAGAACAGATTAAAATGTGGTTAGTTATATTCATTTAATGTAGCATAGCATTCAGATGAAAACCTTTTCACATCATTGCTACAGTATTCTGCTTCTGAGCTCTCCATACTTCGTAACAATGACAGCATTTTATATCAGCTTCACAGACCCTGCAGCATGTGTTAATGATCCCAATCATTACTCTATTATCACTGCATTTTGCCATGTACTGTATATTGGCTTGTAGCAGATCTGAACAGGGAATATAAACAGTAGGTGTATTATGCATTTAGAATGAAATTGGAGGGAGCCTGAACTCCTAAAGTGCTACCAGCTGCTTTTGGCAGATCTTACTCCACGTGTCGTCCATATGGAACTTCTGTGGGAGAGGCTGAGCTGCAGAGCTCTCTCGCTCTCTCTATGAGCTCCCTAGCTTGCTAAATAGATAAATAGAGTTTGGAAAAATGCTTAAAGTTATATTGGCGAAGGCTTGGGGAAAATTCCATGAGAACTGACAGGCAGAGGATGAAACGCAGTCCGCTCCAGACCTGCAGCTCACAAAATAAGACAACAAAACCTTCCGTTTCTATTACCATTTCTCTCTTTGTCTCTTGCTCCGTTGTGCCACGCCATTTTTCGTCACCCTGCCCTCCCTGTGGTTTTCGCTTCAGATAGAGACACATAGCTACTTCAGTGTACCCAGTACTTTGTTGAAGCACCTTTGGCAGCGAATACAGCCTTCGAGTCTTCTTGGGTATGACGCTACAAGCTTGGCACCCCTGTATTTGGGGAGTTTCTCCCATTCTTCTCTGCAGATCCTCTCAAGCTCTGTCAGGTTGAATGGGGAGCGTCGCTGCACAGCTATTCTCAGGTCTCTCCAGAGATGTTAGATCAGGTTCAAGTCCGGGCTCTGGCTGGGCCACTCAAGGACATTCAGAGACTTGTCCCGAAGCCACTCCTGCGTTGTCTTGGCTGTGTCCTTACGGTCGTTGTCCTGTTGGAAAGTGAACCTTCGCCCCAGTCTGAGGTCCTGGGCGCTCTGGATCTCTCTGTACTTTGCTCCGTTCATCTTTCCCTCGATCCTGACTAGACTCCCAGTCCCTGCCGCTGAAAAACATCTCCACAGCATGATGCTGCCACCACCATGCTTCACCGTAGGTATGGTGCCAGGTTTCCTCCAGACGTGACGCTTGACATTCAGGCCAAAGAGTTCAACCTTGGTTTCATCAGATCAGAGAATCTTGTTTCTCTTGGTCTGAGAGTCATTTAGGTGCCTTTTGGCAAACTCCAAGCGGGCTGTCATGTGCCTTTTACTGAGGAGTGACCATCGGGTTCTTGGTCACCTCCCTGACCAAGGCCCTTCTCCCCCGATTGCTCAGTTTGGCCGGGTGGCCAACTCTAGGAAGAGTCTTGGTGGTTCCAAACTTCTTCCATTTAAGAATGATGGAGGCCACTGCATTCTTGGGGACCTTCAATGCTGCAGAAATGTTTTGTTACCCTTCCCCAAGATCTGTGCCTCGACACAACCCTGTCTCGGAGCTCTACGGACAATTCCTTCGACCTCATGGCTTGGTTTTTGCTCTGACATGCACTGTCAACTGTGGGAGCTTATATAGACAGGTGTGTGCCTTTCCAAATCATGTCCAAACAATTGAATTTACCACAGGTGGACTCCAATCAAGTTGTAGAAACATCTCAAGGATGATCAATGGAAACAGGATGCACCTTAGCTCAATTTCGAGTCTCATAGCAAAGGGTCTGAATAGTTATGTAAATAAGGTATTTCTGTTTTTGCAAAATGTTCTAAAAACCAGTTTTCGCTTTGTTATTATGGGCTATTGTTTGTAGATTAATGAGGAAATGTTTTTATTTAATCAATTTTAGAATAAGGCTGTAACGTAACAAAATGTGGAAAAAGGGAAGGGGTCTGAATACTTTCCGAATGCACTGTAACTACCCACTGGGAACAAAATGGTTAAATTAATGTTGTTTCATTGTAATTTGTCAACGTATTGTGATGTGGAATCTACGTGGAAAATACATTGGATTCAAAAAAAGTCATCAACGTAGTAAACTGTTGTTTTGAGGGTAAAATTTCAACCACAGGATTATGTCATCATAACCAATTTTCAACATAGACAAACCTTGTATAAAATATGTTGAATTTGTACATTTGAAACGTCAGATCTTCACCTACTACTGGAGAGTTGATCTATCTACATCTATTAATTTGGTCTCCCATCCAGGGTTATAACCAAGCCCAGCGCTGCTTAGCTTTGATATTTGTCACTGACTATTAACAATGTACTATCATGAGAAAGATTTTTGAGAAATCTCTGCTTAATAGATTCACTGTTGCTATCGAAGTCATTCCAAAGGGTAGGTTCAACAGAGCAAATTAAATGTAACCATACTTTATCAATCATATATCATCAATGATGCTATTTAGGCCTTTCAAATGGAATCTACAAGTTAATAATAAATATGTTGGATTCACGTCTCCATCTCAACCAAAAATGTAAGTTAAAGAATATAATTAAATCAAATCAAACTGTTTAAAGTTTGCTTTGATTTGATTTAGTCCTATTCTTTAACTTCGCTTTTTGGTTGAAATGGAGACGTGAATCCAAAATATAAATTATTAATTTGTAGACAGACTGGAATTAAAGCCAGACTCAGTGGCACAGATGGAGCTATCCAAGCAGAAGATATATCTCCTTCAAAAGTTGATATTTAGTTGAGTTGACAACCAAACACAATTCCATATCACTTTTGCAATACGGTAAATAACCTATTAACTTGTCGACAAGTTAACAAATTATATGTTGGATTCACGTCTCCATCTCAATCAAAAATCTATGTTAAAGAATAGGACTAAATCAAATCAAAGCAAATGTTTAATACAGTTTGATTTGATTTAATTATATTCTTTAACTTTTATTTTTGGTTGAGATGTTAAAGAATAGGATTAAGCCAGTGGCTCAGATGGAACTATCCATGCAGCAGATACCGTACAACTCCTTTAAATGTTGATATTTGGTTGCGTTGTCAACCAAACACAATTCAATATTACTTTTATAAGACAGTAAATAGCCTAATGTTAAGGCTATCTTACAAACTAATATAACAGTATTTCAACCTTAAAATGAGTAACACATCCATGGCCACATTTTGAGGTTCCTGTAACAATAAATGTATTCTTATGTAATCATAGAAAGCATTCAGGGTCTCAGGTCTGTGGAAATATTTACAATTGCTATAATAATCTGCACAAAATCTCAAACGGCATTGATCACTTGCACCATGTACTTTAATGTAATCTCAACTAACTGCAATCCAAGTTATTTGGTTGTGCTATGTGACCTGACTAAAACTCCAGGCACCAGTTAAAGGGTACAACATGAGGACTGCTGCTGTACGTTGAGAATCTGTTTCCAGTTCACCACAGGCTACATGGTACCATAAATCACGGTATTGTACAAAAGGATACGGCTCCGACCAATCGGAACTCAGAGTAGTTGTCACACTTCCAGCTGCTGAACCAGTGACAGTGGGAATCCTTGAAGAATGTAAACATGCCTTCAGAGAGTAGACACAAATAAACTCTGCTTAAACACAACTCCGGCCCAGAATAGAGTACATGGGAATTTCCTTTTTGGACTGCTAGGTCCCAGACTAAATGGGAGTTACTGTAATTGAATGGTTATCTATTATTGCAGTGCTATATGGCCCAGAACATGAACACGTTTGAGTTTTTTTCTTAATTTATGGCTAGGTCAACATTCTTAGTCTGGGTACTTGTTGAAACTTTAGGATGAGATATAGAGAGCTAGGGCTAAAGGAGAAGTAACTCCCATAATCTTATACTGTTATCTATGGAGAAACATATTATTGTTGCAAACAAAACAGCTGTAACATCTGTATCTCTATGGCTCAGAGCAACACATATGCCTGATCTGTTTGTCCCATATGTCTCACCGTAGTCTGTATGAAAGATCTGTCGGATGAGAAGGAGAAACCACTCCTTGGTCAGACCGCCCATGTCTAAACCAGCCTCCCCCACAAACGTCACTTTCAGCTTCTTCTTCAAGTCTGCACGGTTTCTAGCAAGCTAAAAGCAAGAGAACAAGTTAAGCTGTGGCCAACTTTCTTGAACTCATCAGACCTAGGCATGCTGCATGTCTTAACTTATACACTGCTCAAAAGAATAAAGGGAACACTAAAATAACACATCCTAGATCTGAATTAATGAAATAATCTTATTAAATACTTGTTTCTTTACATAGTTGAATGTGCTGACAACAAAATCACACAAAAATTATCAATGGAAATCAAATGTATCAACCCATGGAGGTCTGGATTTGGAGTCACCCTCAAAATTAAAGTGGAAAACCACACTACAGGCTGATCCAACTTTGATGTAATGTCCTTAAAACAAGTCAAAATGACGTGTGTGTGGCCTCCACGTGCCTGTATGACCTCCCTACAACGCCTGGGCATGCTCCTGATGAGGTGGCAGATGGTCTCCTGAGGGATCTCCTCCCAGACCTGGACTAAAGCATCCGCCAACTCCTGGACAGTCTTTGGTGCAACGTGGCATTGGTGGATGGAGCGAGACATGATGTCCCAGATGTGCTCAATTGGATTCAGGTCTGGGGAACGGGCGGGCCAGTCCATAGCATCAATGCCTTCCTCTTGCAGGAACTGCTGACACACTCCAGCCACATGAGGTCTAGCATTGTCTTGCATTAGGAGGAACCCAGGGCCAACCGCACCAGCATATGGTCTCACAAGGGGTCTGAGGATCTCATCTCGGTACCTAATGGCAGTCAGGATACCTCTGGCGAGCACTTGGAGGGCTGTGCGGCCCCCCAAAGAAATGCCACCCCACACCATGACTGACCCACCGCCAAACCGGTCATGCTGGAGGATGTTGCAGGCAGCAGAACGTTCTCCACAGTGTGAACCTGCTTTCATCTGTGAAGAGCACAGGGCGCCAGTGGTGAATTTGCCAATCTTGGTGTTCTCTGGCAAATGCCAAACGTCCTGCACGGTGTTGGGCTGTAAGCACAACCCCCACCTGTGGACGTCGGGCCCTCATACCACCCTCATGGAGTCTGTTTCTGACCGTTTGAGCAGACACATGCACATTTGTGGCCTGCTGGAGGTCATTTTGCAGGGCTCTGGCAGTGCTCCTCCTGCTCCTCCTTGCATAAAGGTGGAGGTAGCAGTCCTGCTGCTGGGTTGTTGCCCTCCTACGGCCTCCTCCACGTCTCCTGATGTACTGGCCTGTCTCCTGGTAGCGCCTCCATGCTCTGGACACTACACTGACAGACACAGCAAACCTTCTTGCCACAGCTCGCATTGATGTGCCATCCTGGATGAGCTGCACTACCTGAGCCACTTGTGTGGGTTGTAGACTCTGTCTCATGCTACCACTAGAGTGAAAGCACCGCCAGCATTCAAAAGTGACCAAAACATCAGCCAGGAAGCATAGGAACTGAGAAGTGGTCTGTGGTCACCACCTGCAAAACCAGTCCTTTATTGGGGATGTCTTGCTAATTGCCTATAATTTCCACCTGTTGTCTATTCCATTTGCACAACAGCATGTGAAATGTATTGTCAATCAGTGTTGCTTCCTAAGTGGACAGTTTGATTTCACAGAAGTGTGATTGACTTGGAGTTACATTGTGTTGTTTAAGTATTCCCTTTATTTTTTTGAGCAGTGTACATATCTTGGATGTTTCAGTTTTGAAATGCACTGCATTGAAAACAGTGAAACAACTGCTGCAAATTAATTGGCTCTTGTGTGATTCAAAAACACAATAACAGAAATAGCTATCAAGCCACTCTACCAGGGTTGGGCTGTCTTCTTAAGTAATGCTTTTGTGTGTCTGTGTGTAATGTGCCCAGATTTAGATGGGAGATGGTATTACCTCATCCAGTGAGTCACTGACCAGCTGCGGCCGCCTGACTTTGATGTTGAGAAACAGCAGGCTCATGTCAACTCGCTGTCTGCGAGACACTTTGTCCACTAGGCTTTGCTGCAATAAATTACAAGAGGCACTCTTTATTTGCAGTTGCTCCCACAGTACATGCTGTTGGCATTAGACCACTGCTTGCTGTCAGAGTGGGAGAGTGTATGTTTTCAGGCTGATGCCGTGAGATACACACTGTAAATATTGTATACTTATAGATCTGGGTTATTCCTGACTACAAGACCTGACTGGGAAAAACTCTGGGTCCAACAAATTTCAATTATATAAAATAATAATAATAATAGTAATAATAATATTATATATATATATACAGTTGAAGTCGGAAGTTTACAAACACTTAGGTTGGAGTCATTAAAACTCATTTTTCAACCACTCCACAAATTTCTTGTTAACAAACAATAGTTTTGGCAAGTCGGTTAGGACATCTACTTTGTGCATGACACAAGTAATTTTTCCAACAATTGTTTACAGACAGATTATTTCACTTATAATTCACTGTATCACAATTCCAGTGGGTCAGAAGTTTACATACACTAAGTTGACTGTGCCTTTAAACAGCTTGGAAAATTCCAGAAAATGATGTCATGGCTTTAGAAGCTTCTGATAGGCTAATTGACATCATTTGAGTCAATTGGAGGTGTACCTGTGGATGTATTTCAAGGCCTACCTTCAAACTCAGTGCTTCTTTGCTTGACATCATGGGAAAATGAAAAGAAATCAGCCAAGACTTCCACAAGTCTGGTTCATCATTGGGAGCAATTTTCAAACGCCTGAAGGTACCACGTTCATCTGTACAAACAATAGTACGCAAGTATAAACACCATAGGACCACGCAGCCGTCATACCACTCAGGAAGGAGACGCGTTCTGTCTCCTAGAGATGAACGTACTTTGGTGCGAGAAGTGCAAATCAATCCCAGAACAACACTAAAGAACCTTGTGAAGATGCTGGAGGAAACAGGTACAAAAGTATCTATATCCACAGTAAACGAGTCCTATATCGACATAACCTGAAAGGCCGCTCAGCAAGGAAGAATCCACTGCTCCAAAACCGGCATAAAAAAGCCAGACTACGGTTTGCAACTGCACATGGGGACAAAGATCGTACTTTGTCCTCTGGTCTGATGAAACAAAAATAGAACTGTTTGGCGATAATTACCATCGTTATGTCTGGAGGAAAAAGGGGGACGCTTGCAAGCCGAAGAACACCATCCCAACCGTGAAGCACGGGGGTGGCAGAATCATGCTGTGGGGGTGCTTTTCTGCAGGAGGGTCTGGTGCACTTCACAAAATAGATGGCATCATGAGGAAGGAAAATTATGTGGATATATTGAAGCAACATCTCAAGACATCAGTCAGGAAGTTAAAGCTTGGTCGCAAATGGGTCTTCCAAATGGACAATGACCCCAAGCATACTTCCAAAGTTGTGGAAAATGGCTTAAGGACAACACAGTCAAGGTATTGGAGTGGCCATCACAAAGCCTGCCTCGCCTGGTTCACCAACTACTTCTCAGATAGAGTTCAATGTGTCAAATCGGAGGGCCTGTTGTCTGGACCTATGGCAGTCTCTATGGGGGTGCCACAGGGTTCAATTCTTGGGCCGACTCTTTTCTCTGTGTATATCAATGATGTTGCTCTTGCTGCTGGTGACTCTCAGATCCACCTCTATGCAGACGACACCATTTTGTATACATCTGGCCCTTCATTGGACTGTGTTAACAAACCTCCAAACGAGCTTCAATGCCATACAACACTCCTTCAGTAGCCTCCAACTGCTCTTAAACACTAGTAAAACTAAATGCATGCTCTTCAATCGAATGCTGCTGGCACCCGCCACCCGACTAGAATCACTACTCTAGACGGGTCTGACCTAGAGTATGTGGACAACTACAAATACCTAGGTGTCTGGTTAGACTGTAAACTCTCCTTACAGACTCACATTAAGAATCTCCAATCCAAAGTTAAATCTAGAATCGGCTTCCTATTTCGCAACAAAGCCTCCTTCACTCATGCTGCCAAACATGCCCTCGTAAAACTGACTATCCTACCGATCCTTGACTTCGGCGATGTCATTTACAAAATAGCCTCCAACACTCTACTCAGCAAATTGGATGTAGTCTATCACAGTGCCATCCGTTTTGTCTCCAAAGCCCCATATACTACCCACCACTGTGACCTGTATGCTCTTGTTGGCCGGTCCTCACTACATATTCGTCGCCAAACCAACTGGCTCCAGGCCATCTATAAATCACTGCTAGGCAAATCCCCGCCTTATCTTAGCTCATTGGTCACCATAGCAACACCCACCCGTAGTATGCGCTCCAGCAGGTATATCTCACTGGTCATCCCCAAAGCCAACACCTCCTTTGGCCGCCATTCCTTCCAGTTCTCTGCTGCCAATGACTGGAACAAATTGCAAAAATCTCTGAAGCTGGAGACACTTATCTCCCTCACTAACTTTAAGCATCAGTTGTCAGAGCACCTTACCGATCATTGCACCTGTACACAGCCCATCTGAAATTAGCCCGCCCAACTACCTCATCCCTATATTGTTATTTATTTTGCTCATTTGCAACCCAGTATCTCTATTTGCACATCATCTCTTGCACATCTATCATTCCAGTGTTAATACTAATTGTAATTATTTTGCACTATAGCCTATTTATTGCCTTACCTCCATAACTTGCTACATTTGCACACACTGTATATATATTTTCTGTTGTATTTTTGACTTTATGTTTTGTTTTACCCCATATGTAACTCTGTGTTGTTGTTTTTATCGCACTGCTTTGCTTTATCTTGGCCAGGTCGCAGTTGTAAATGAGAATTTGTTCTCAACTGGCTTACCTAGTTAAATAAAGGTGAAAAAAAAAATGAAAAAAAAGCCCTGACCTCAATCCTATAGAAAATGTGTGGGCAGAACTGAAAAAGCGTGTGCAAACAAGGAGGCCTACAACAAACCTGACTCAGTTACACCAGCTCTGTCAGGAGGAATGGGCCAAAATTCACCCAACTTATTGTGGGAAGCTTGTGGAAGGCTACCCGAAACGTTTGACCCAAGTTAAACAATTTAAAGGCAATGCTACCAAATACAAATTGAGTGTATGTAAACTTCTGACCCACGGGGAATGTGATGAAAGAAATAAAAGCTGAAATAAATCATTCTCTCTGCTATTATTCTGACATTTCACATTCTTAAAATAAAGTGGTGATCCTAACTGACCTAAGACTGGGAATTTTTACTAGGATTAAATGTCAGGAATTGTGAAAACCTGAGTTTAAATGTATTTGGCTAAGGTGTAAGTAAACTTCCAACTTCAACTGTATATATACATACTGTATACACTACCGTTCAAAGGTTTGGGGTAACTTTCCTTGTTTTCGAAAGAAAAGCAATTTTTTTTGCCCATTAAAGTAACATCAAATTGATCAGAAATACAGTGTAGACATTGTTAATGTTGTAAATGGCTATTGTAGCTGGAAACGGCTGATTTTTTATGGAATATCTACATAGGCGTACAGAGGCCCATTATCAGCAACCATCAGTCCTGTGTTCCAATGGCACATTGTGTTTGCTAATCCATGTTTATCATTTTAAAAGGCTAATTGATCATTAGAAAACCCTTTTGTAATTATGTTAGCACAGCTGAAAACTGTTGTGCTGATTAAAGAAGCAATAAATCTGGCCTTCTTGAGACTAGTTGAGTATCTGGAGCATCAGCAATTGTGGGTTCGATTACAGGCTCAAAATGGCCAGAAACAAAGAATGTTCTTCTGAAACTCATCAGTCTATTCTTGTTCTGAGAAATGAAGGCTATTCCATGCGAGAAATTGCCAAGAAACTGAAGATCTCGTACAACGCTGTGTACTACTCCCTTCACAGAATAGCGCAAACTGGCTCTAACCAGAATAGAAAGAGGAGTGGGAGGCCCCGGTGCACAACTGAGAAAGAGGACAAATACATTAGAGTGTCTAGTTTGAGAAACAGACGCCTCACAGGTCTTCAACTGGCAGCTTCATTAAATAGTACCCGCAAAACACCAGTCTCAACGTCAACAATGAAGAGGCGACTACGGGATGCTGACCTTCTAGGCAGAGTTGCAAAGAAAAAGCCATATCTCAGACTGGCCAATAAAAAGAAAAGATTAAGATGGGCAAAAGAACACAGACACTGGACAGAGGAAGATTGGACAAAAGTGTTATGGACAGACGAATCGAAGTTTGAGGTGTTCGGATCACAAAGAAGAACATTTGTGAGACGCAGACCAAATGAAAACATGCTGGAGGAGTGCTTGATGCCATCTGTCAAGCATGGTGGAGGCAATGTGATGGTCTGGGGGTGCTTTGGTGGTGGTAAAGTGGGAGATATGTACAGGGTAAAGGGGATCTTGAAGAAGGAAGGCTTTCACTCCATTTTGCAACGCCATGCCATACCCTGTGGACGGCGCTTGATTGGAGCCAATTTCCTCCTACAACAGGACAATGACCCAAAGCACAACTCCAAACTATGCAATAACTATTTAGGGAAGAAGCAGTCAGCTGGTATTCTGTCTATAATGGAGTGGCCAGCACAGTCACTGGATCTCAACCCTATTGAGCTGTTGTGGGAGCAGCTTGACCGTATGGTACGTAAGAAGTGCCCATCAAGCCAATCCAACTTGTGGGAGGTGCTTCCGGAAGCATGAGGTGAAATCTCTTCAGATTACCTCAACAAATTGACAACTAGAATGCCAAAGCTCTGCAAGGCTGTAATTGCTGCAAATGGAGGATTCTTTGACAAAAGCAAAGTTTGAAGGACACAATTATTATTTAAATTAAAAATAATTATTTCGACTACATTTCCTATTCATTTGGCTATATTTCCTATTCAAACTCATTTCATGTATGTCTTCATGGAAAAAACAAGGACATTTCTAAGTGACCCCAAACCTTTGAACGGTAGTGTACATACAGAAGGGTAAGGGTTAGACTGAGACTGTGAGGCACTGTCTGTGCTGTCTTGCAATACAATGACACTGTCATAGATGGACGACAAGGACCTATGTGAGCAGTGACCTCTGTCTCACCCTGGCCATGCTGATCATCTGCTGCTCCGAGTCCTTCTGGATGATTGCCTTCTTCACCACCGTGGATAGAATGAAGGGGAACTGGCAGAATGTAAACCTGTGGATGGGGAGGAACCGGTAGGAACGGGGATGTTTGGTTATCATAACTTATCACATGGAAAGAATGTTTTGGTTTAATCAGGGATTGTGTTCTCTTGGTGTATGATACTCATTGGAGATTGTATCGTAGCTGGATGCTATGATATGTCTGGGTTTGAAATATACACTACATGACCGAAAGTATGTGGACACCTGCTCGTCGAACATCTCATTCCAAAATCATGGGCATTAATATGGAGTTGGTCCCCCTTTGCTGCTATAACAGCCTCCACTCTTCTGGGAAGGCATTTCACTAGATGTTGGAACATTGCTGCGGGAACTGGCTTCCATTTAGCCACAAGAGCATTAGTGAGGTCGGGCACAGATGTTGGGCGATTAGGCCTGTCTCGCAGTCAGCGTTCCAATTAATCCCAAAGGTGTTCAACGGGGTTGAGGTCAGGGCTCTGTGCAGGCCAGTCAAGATCTTCCACACGGATCTCGACAAAACCATTTCTCTATGGACTTTGCTTTGTGCACGGGGGCATTGTCATGCAGAAACAGGAAAGGGCCTTCCCCAAACTGTTGCCACAAAGTTGGAAGCACAGAATTGTCTAGAATGTCATTTTATGCTGTAGCGTTAAGATTTCCCTCCACTGGAACAAAGGGGCCTAGCCCAAACCATGAAAAACCGCCACAGACCATTATTCCTCCTCCACCAAACTTTACAGTTGGCAGTATGCATTCGGGCAGGTAGCTTTCTCCTAGCATCCGCCAAACCCAGATTAGTCAGTCTGACTGCCAGAGGGTGAACCGTGATTCCTCACTCCAGAGAATGTGTTTCCACTGCTCCAGAGTCCAATGGCGGCAAGCTTTACACCACTCCAGCCAACACTTGGCATTGCGCATGGTGATTTTAGGCTTGTGTGCGGCTGCTCGGCCATGGAAACCCATTTCATGAAGCTCCTGACGAACAGTTATTGTGCTGACGTTGCTTCCAGAGGCAGTTTGGAACTCGGTAGTGAGTGTTGCAACTGAGGACAGACGATTTTTACGCGCTACATGCTTCAGCATTTGGCGGTCCCGTTCTGTGATCTTCTGTGGCCTACCACTTCGCAGCTGAGCCATTGTTGCTCCTAGAAGTTTCCACTTCACAATAACAGCACTTATAGTCGACCGGGCAACTCTAGCAGGGCAGAAATTTGACGAACTGACTTGTTGGAAAGGTGCCATCCAATGACGGTGACACGTTAAAAGTCACTGAACTCTTCATTAAGGCCATTCTACTGCCAATGTTTGTCTATGGAGATTGCATGGCTGTGTGCTTGATTTTATACACCTGTCAGCAATGGGTGTGGGTGAAATAGCCGAAATTTGAAGGGGTGTCCACATACTTTTGTATATATAGTGTATCTGATGTTGCAATCTTATATCATAAACAATCAATCTGTTGTTATAAAGCTGAAAACTGGCACAAGAGGGAGCTCCATTTATTTACAGGGAAACACAGGAATCATAACAACAAGGGTTATGGGCAGAATTGAACAGCACTGGTCAACATAAGCTTTGCTCTGATAATATTGTCCTGCCTCACCTGGTAAAGTTTCCCTGAGTCTGCCATGTGCGATAATCCTCCATGAAGTCAGTGTGGTCCAGTGTGAGGTTATAGAAGTCAACAAAGGGCATGATGGGAGTGCAAGAAATGCTATTGGCTGCATCTACAATGAAGAAAAAGTATAAAAATAAAAATGTATCAAGGTCTCTTAGACTGATGTTTGCTTGAACCTTGACACCTCTGAACTTCTCCTGACCCTCAAACTACGTGTACCCCAGACAAATATCGATAGGAGGTCCAGACATACAGTGCATTCGGAAAGTATGCAGACCCCTTGACTTTTTCCACATTTTGTTACGTTACAGCCTTATTCTAAAATTGATTAAATTGTTTTTTTCCCTCATCAATCTACACACAATACTCCATAATGACAAAGCAAAAACTGTTTTTTAGAAATTGTTGCAAATATATTAAAAATAAAAAACTGAAATATCACATTTACACAAGTATTCAGACCCTTTACTCAGTACATTGTTGAAGCACCTTTGGCAGTGATTACAGCCTCAAGTCTTCTTGGGTATGACGCTACAAGCTTGGCACACATGTATTTGGGGAGTTTCTCCCATTCTTCTCTGCAGATCCTCTCAAGCTCTGTCAGGTTGGATGGGGAGCGTCGCTGCACAGCTATTTTCAGGTCTCTCCAGAGATGTTAGATCGGGTTCAAGTCCGGGGTCTGGGTGGGTCACTCAAGGACATTTCAGAGACTTGTCCCGAAGCCACTCCTGCGTTGTCTTGGCTGTGTGCTTAGGGTCGTTGTCCTGTTGGAAGGTGAACCTTCGCCCCAGTCTGAGGTCCTGAGCTCTCTGGAGCATGTTTTCATCAAGGATCTCTGTACTTTGCTCCGTTCATCTTTCCCTTGATCCTGACTAGTCTCCCACTGAAAAACATCCCCACAGCATGATGCTGCCACCACCATGCTTCACCGTAGGGATGTTGCCAGGTTTCCACCAGACATGACGCTTGGCATTCAGGCCAAAGAGTTCAATCGTGGTTTCATCAGACTAGAGAATCTTGTTTTTCATGGTCTGAGAGTCCTTTAGCTGCCTTTTGGCAAACTCCAAGTGGGCTGTCATGTGCCTTTTACTGAGGAGTGGCTTCCGTCTGGCCACTCTACCATAAAGGCCTGATTGGTGGAGTGCTGCAGAGATGGTTGTCCTTCTGGAAGGTTCTGACATCTCCACAGAGGAACTCTAGAGCTCCGTCAGAGTGACCATCGGGTTCTTGGTCACCTCCCTGACCAAGGCCCTTCTCCCCCGATTGCTCAGTTTGGCCGGGCAGCCAGCTCTAGGAAGAGTCTTGGTGGTTCCAAACTTCTTCCATTTAAGAATGATGGAGGCCACTGTGTTCTTGAGGACCTTCAATGCTGCAGAAATGTTGTGGTACCCTTCCCCAGATCTGTGCCTCGACACAATCCTGTCTCAGAACTCTATGGAAAATTCATTTGACCTCATGGCAGCTGACCTCAATTTCGAGTCTCATAGCAAAGGGTCTGAATACTTATGTAAATAAGTAATTTCTGTTTCTAAAAACCTGTTTTCTCTTAGTCATTATGGGGTATTGTGTGTAGATTGATGAGGAAAACATTTATTTAATCAATTTTAGAATAAGGCTGTAACGTAACAAAATTTGGAAAAAGTCAAGGGGTCTGAATACTTTCCGAATGCACTGTATATGGACAGCAGAATTCAATGTCTGTAGAAAGTGTAGTTCAATCCATCACAACCCCCCATTACCTCAGCTCCCTGTAGGGGTGGATATAGAAGACGTCCTACTCACTGAGGAGGGAGAGGACCTTGGTGGCGGAGGGGATCCACCAGGAGCACTTGGCCATGGGGGGCAGCTCCTCAGGCTTGGCAGGGAACAAACGGGTGGAGATGAAGAGGTGGAGCCGCTCCACCAGCTGTTTGAACCGCTTCTGGGACAGCCTGGGAGAGGAGGACACGAGTTAGATAATCATCATAAAAAATCAAGGCATTATCATGATCACCATCATCATCAGAATTATATAATCGAAAACACTGAGTACATGGCAAGGAATACATTTTAACTGTCAAAATAGATTGTCTTGGTTTGAAAGCTACAGTATGACTGCTCAATCTCTACCAACTGTTACTAAAACAATTTCGAAAACGTATTTTTAACGTTATTGATTTAACTTTCCTGGATAAAGAATAACAACAAAGGTTTCTTTCTTAGGACTGTGTTTACTTTGGGGATAACAACTATACTGGCTTGAAAATATATATATAACGCAGAGGAACAATTCAGACTCTTACTTCTTAAACCAGTGCATCAGGAAATAGTGGTCTGCTTCAGCCAACGCGGCTATTTGCCTCAGTAAGTGTGCATAGATGACATATGTGGCTGGGCTGGTGCACTGAGGGTTCTGCAACAAAGAGGAGCTTTTTCAGCAGTGGCAGTGCACTTCAAAAAGGAAATATAGCTTTTCATTTGGAGCAGCAGCTGAAGAAGTCTGGCTTTTAATAAAGACTGGCATTACAGAGGAAACCAGACTTTTCCATTCCAAACATGACCTCATCCGTTCCCTTGGCAGAGAGAGAGAGAGAGAGAGAGAGAGAGAGAGAGAGAGAGAGAGAGAGAGAGAGAGAGAGAGAGAGAGAGAGAGAGAGAGAGAGAGAGAGGGAGAATAATACCACTTGTATTACCAGGGGCTGACTGACATCAACCAAGTCGGACAGACACATCTACTTAGGCTACTTCCCAAATGGGGCCCTGGTCAAAAGTAGTGCACTATATAGGAAATAGGGTGCCAATTGGGATATAATCCCAATAATTGCCTTGTGCCTTTCAATTTCACAGGATCCGCCACCGAAATATTGGTCAGAGAGCCTATCAACAGCCCAAAGACGAATGTATGTCATCATACACTAAATTTGGATGAAAGAAAGAACTGTAGAGGCTCAATAGCCACAAAAAGTTGTTGGCAAGAAAGCGATAGAAGAAGTGCTTTTTAATTTACTGCCCTATAAACCCCATAAAACATCTGAAACAATAATAAAACCATGAATGGGATAGAAACCAGAAGTCTCCAACCAAAGTCTCACTTTTTAGCAGACAGAAATCCTCCCAGTTCTATTCAACCATTTCCCAGTCTGTCTCCCAAGTCTTTACCAGACTCTGTGTCTAATAGTCGTGTCCATATTTGGCTGGTGCCAAGCCTGCCTCTAGTCTGTTGCTCATGTGTGAAGTAAACACTGTGCTCTCATTATATCCAGAGCCTGACTGAGACTGACTAACTGCCTGGGCTATGACTGGAGTCAATGGGCCATGTGGCGAGGTAGCAGATCAAGAGTTTCCTGTGTTTCTGATTTGACTTTAGACTGATGGCTGCTGTGTTTAACATACTGAGGCCCCAAAACAAAAATTCATTTTGTAAGATGGCTGTGGAGCACATGCGTGCGTGTTCCTGCGTAATGCATACATTTGCATGCAGAAACTGTCTCACTTCTAATGAGGAAATTGCCGTTGTTACTGGAAAGTACACAATGTTCTCTTGTTACGTAATGAAAGGGTTTGCTATTTATAGCATGGAATTAAGTATTAGCGGTCAAAAGAGCACCTTGGCCAAATCTGTTCGTAATTTCTCCACTCCCAGAGGACCTGAGCCCTAGGACCATGCATCAGGACTACCTGGCCTGATGACTCCTTGCTGTCCCCAGTCCACCTGGTCGTGCTACTGCTCCAGTTTCCACTCTTCTGCCTGCGGCTATGGAACACTAACCTGTTCACCGGACGTGCTACCTTGTCCGAGAGCTGCTGTTTTCAACTCTCTCTCTCTCTACCGCACCTGCTATTTCAACCTCTAAATGCCCGGCTATGAAAAGCCAAGTGACATTTACTCCTGATGTACTGACCTGTTGCAACCTCTACAACCACTGTGATTATTATTTGACCCTGCTGGTCATCTATGAATGTTTGAACATCTTGGAGAAAAATCTGGCCTTAATGGCCACTATTATAATCTCCACCCGGCACAGCCAGAAGGGGACTGGCCACCCCTCAGAGCCTGGTTCTTCTCTAGGTTTCTTCCTAGGTTTCTGCCTTTCTAGGGAGTTTTTCCTAACCACCGTGCTTCTACATCTGCATTGCTTGCTGTTTGGGGTTTTAGGCTGGGTTTCTGTATAGCACTTTGTGACATCTGCTGATGTAAAAAGGGCTTTATACATAACATTTGATTGATTGATTGATGAGGTTACCTGAACTAGAATGAAATACGCTCTCAGGTCATCCTTCGTCCGTCGACTGCAAAATAAAGCAGACAATATGAAGTTAATTTCATTTCTCATCCAGTATGTAACGTTTGCATTAATATTCAAGTCACAAAGTATAGAGCTTTACTATGTAGATAGGAATTGTTTGATTTGAATGAAAATATAAGAGCACTCACCCCTTCCATTCTCTTAACAAGCTGTTAATGATCCCCTTCAGCACTGCTCTCTGGGTATCAGGAGGCTGTTGAATCAATGTTGGATCAATGTTAGTGAGAGGTTTTCATTTCAACAACCTAATATAAACATGGCTATTTGTTGCTCTATCATTCTACATACCGTGAGCAATAATGTGTCATAGACAGCATTGATGAATTTGGTATTGATTCCTGAGTCTTCAATCGTGTTGAATGGAGCGTTTGCTTCTTTCTGAAAAGAGAAATGAAGAACACTTTCAGATTAGGACTAACACTAGTTTAGTCTAATTTTATTGGTGATTCGCTCAGTTCAAGTCTGGTTTACACTCTTAAAAAAAGGGTTTCAAAAGGTTTTTTTTCCGGCTGTGCCCATAGGATAACCCTTTTTGGTTCCAGGTCAAACCCTTTTTGGTTCCAGGTAGAACCATTTTGGGTTCCATGTAGAACCCTCTGTGGAAAGGGTTCTACCTGGAACCAACAAGGGTTCTTCAAAGGGTTATCCTATGGGGACAGCCAAATAACTGTTTTAGGTTCTAGATAGCACCTTTTTTTCTATGCATGTACTTTGGGAGAAGGCTAACACTCCATATTAGACTTTGTTATGAAATATCCTAGACCCTCTTGCTTCTAATAAGCTCCATCATCTCTAGGAAGTCATGCAGACCGACCATCACATGTGCTAAACATTTACCCAACTGTTCCTTGCCATATATGACCATACGTTCTCTTATAGGTTCTGCTCTCATGTATAAAACTCTCCATGGAAACCACACACAGGTGCTCTTTTTTTTTTTTTACAACCTTCTGAATGACTTCATTCATTCATTTACAGACTCAAAAACAACTCTCCAAATTCCCCTTTTCCTGGCTCCCAGAAAGACTCTATTCACCGACTTTAAACACTAAAACAATGGTCACCTTTAATTTGCATTGATCAGTCATATTTCAAAATTAACACTGTTACTTTAGCAATTTTACCATCACACTTATCCATACAAAATAATTGATATAATGTAATAAGTCATTTAAAAACATTCTGTATAACTAGCACTGGCTTGACTGACGATACAAATATGAAACCGCAGGATTGGATATGGCACAATCAGGATCACCCACCTTAAAGGCAGCATTCAGTTCCAAAAAAGAGTCAAACGTGGTCAAGTAGAAATCATGGACGTGTTTCCAATCGCCGGAGACTGTTGCCTTCTCAATGTCCTCCCTAGTAGAAGTTAGATGAATATTAAGAGATGTTTCTGTTTGAGTATAATACTGATGATAATGATGACACAGTGTGTGTGTGTGTGTGTGTGTGTGTGTGTGTGTGTGTGTGTGTGTGTGTGTGTGTGTGTGTGCGTGCGTGCGTGCGTGCGTGCGTGCGTGCGTGCGTGCGTGCGTGCGTGCGTGCGTGCGTGCGTGCGTGCGTGCGTGCGTGCGTGCGTGCGTGCACTTACTGAAACTCTTTGGCAGTCTTGGTGCGGAGGGGGATAACAGGGTCGGAGGCAAAGCGAGCCCTGACCTCAGGAGGCAAAATGTCAATGGTGATGCGATGTTGATGCTTCTGTCTGACATCAGGACAGATGGGGGGAAGATCTCTACCTGCAGGTGGAATAAAAACACATGTAACCACATATAAAAACACACAAATACTCACACATAAATATACCATCCTAGAAAATACTATTTTATATTAACCAATTCCTAATTAAAATGAAGGCGGTAATTAATATGAACTCTACTTACTGGCAAGGTACCAGTGTATAAGGTGTATAAAACCAGGTGCTCTAATCCACAATATTATAGTTTAACTATCTCAGTTAACTTTTATATAACAAGATGGACAGACTTGCAACCTTGGACTTTTTGAGCCATTAGAGGAAACCTGCATAAAAAAATTGTTTTGCATGGGTCAATGAACTCTCCATATTTACAAGTATAAGTGACAACAACATATTAACATCTTGTATTTTGAAAACACAACAGTTGTGCTCATTTCACCCAGAACAAGTTCTCCCTGTAAAGGATGAGCAGCTCTGAATGGCCCTTTGTCTCCCTCATCTGCATCAATCATTGATCCTCAAGTCTCCTCCAACATCTTTGATCTCAAGAATAGGAAGCCACGACAACACATCTGCCTGGTGTATTGTTCATGATTTCAAAGCAGCCTGTATGGGTCACTTTGAAATTGAAACAAGCCTTTCTTTTGTGAGCGCTGTGAAAATGATTTCCTTGTAAACCTCTCAGTTATATTTCTAAGTCTCAATGTGTTCCTCTTGAAAACTTTGTTCATACTCAGCAAAGGTGCAGTCTGTCCCAGGAGGGTACTGTTTATCAATTAGAGATGATTGATGCCACAGACAATATCTGTTCATCAAATCAGCTTTGTTAGACACCCTGTACCTGAAGGTAAGAATATCAAAAATGTGTTAGGTAGCCATACTGATAGCTCATGTTGAATATGCTATTGGGATCAAACTTGAGTAAGTGCTTCATGCCTGCACTTTGATATAGGTTCACTATGAGCTTCACAATCTCAGTTTACAAAAGACTGACTCTTGAATGAAGTAATGTGTACATTAGGGTTACCATGACGGGACCTACCATGCCGTATGCCAGGAAGGATAAACTGGGAGGAGAGGCCGTGGCTACCAGCCTCCTTTTTGTGGTTTGAGATGAAACTGAGGGACGGATATGGCAGCTTTGGTCCACGATCAGTACCCTATGACAAAAAAACAGAATTCATATTACAGACATCATGGAGTCTTGGATGTCCAAAAATTGACATTAGGTCCTGGATTTAATTATAATTTTAACAGTATAGATCAGAACTATGACAGTACAGGCTTTGTTTCAGTGATAATGTGTTGGGGAGTAGTGAACTACATGTAGTTCAACTAGTAATGAACAACATTTTGCAGTAGCTTGGTAGTAGTTGAACTAAATTCAAATATTGGTAGTGTTTTCAGTAGTTAATAACTTTTTTTGCCATGTAGCGGTGTAGCTGACTACTGGAACTACACACTAGTTTTTTTTTTGCTAAATAGAAAGAAAATATGGGTGCCAGTAGGCAATAATTTATTTTATTTTTCGACATCAGACCTGGCTAATTCTCACTTGAAACTTAAAAAGCTAAAATACACATTCTGTTAACTCCAGAGTGATCTGTTTGTGCAATTAGTTTTCTATGACATTTTAGATTTATATGATATGATCATTTTTCACAAAGTAGTTTGGATGTAGTGAACTACTTTTTCATAGTAACTTTAATTAAGTAAACTATATTTTTCTGAAGGGTAGCTTTGGTATAGCTTAACTTCTTTCATGCAGTGTGAAGTAATTGGTAGCTTGGTGAACTATTTTCTGAGTAGCTTCCCCAACACCGCATATTAGCACTCATTACTCACAGAGCTGCTATGCTGTTTTATAGCATAATAGGGTTAGGAAGAGCTGTCCAAAAGGTTCCACCCTTAGTCTGAACATTAACACATTTCCCCAAAAAGACAAGCTCTGAGATAATTGAAATGGTAATGTTAGTATGTTACCATTATGCATTGGGAAAAAAAAACACATTCTAAATCTAAACCTTTTTCTAAACCTTTATTTTATTTTATTTTTACATTTTAAGAATTAATTGTATGACATTGATCACACATGAAAATTATTTTAAAAAAACAGAATTTTATTTTATTTATTTGTTAATTGAACATGGAAACATTTATTTGTCATATTTAATTTAATTAGAAACATTGAAAAACATGTAATACTCACAGAGGTGGAATTATTTGAAATTGGAGGGAGTCTATCTCTCTCCCTTTCCCCCTGGTGCAGTTGTGTGTTGTTTTCTCTCATAACGTTGAGTAACATTTCTTCATCCGTTGAAGTCTGGTTTAGGTCGCAGTCACATAGCTTTTTAATTTTTTCTTAACTAAAACAAGTTAAAAGACCTCACAATACCCGCATACACGGTACCCGCAGTAACAAAACATTCAATCTGAAACTAAGTAACGGTTCAGGACCTAAAAGGCTTTCTCGTCTTCATGGTAAACAGGTGAGCTCGCGCAAAGTTGTCAAAGCGCGCAGAGACGGATGCCTGTCCAAGTAAACAGGCACGAGCGTCTGCATCAGATAGTGTCGCCGAAGTCTAGTTTAGGTGCTAGCTGAGCATAAATTACTTATTTTCCACCTAACTGGATGTATCGTCTATATTTGCAGTGCAGCTGTACACATGCGCCATGTTGTTTAAGAGGAGGTTCATAGTTACAAGCTTGGATACCATGGATGTCCTTACGTAAGTGCGCGGGTTTGCTGTGCGCACTTCTCCCAGCCAGGGTCTGTTTAGACTTCGAGGAAACGGCTCGAGAGATGAATTTATCACTATGTACTCTATACAGTAGGCTACTGATAGACTACATTTGAGTTTTTTCTCTGTAGGTCTATTCAAGGAATCCAAGTGATAAGATATACAGTACTATGAAAAAGTATTTGCCCCCTTTCTAATTTTCTCAACTTTTGCATATTTGTGATACTGAATGTTATCAGATGTTCAACCAAAACCTAATATTAGATAAAGGGAACATAAGTGAACAAATAACACAACAATTACATATTTATTTCATAAACAAAGTTATGCAACACCCAATTCCCCTGTGTGAAAAAGTAATTGCCCCCTTACACTCAATAACTGGTTGTGCCACCTTTAGCTGCAATGGCTCCAACCAAATGCTTCCTGTAGTTGTTGATCAGTCTCTCACGTCGCTGTGGAGGAATTTTGGCCCACTCTTCCATGCAGAACTGCTTTAACTCAGTGACGTGTGGGTTTTCAAGCATGAACTGCTCGTTTCAAGTCCTGCCACAACATCTCAATTGGGATTAGGTCTGGACTTTGACTAGGCCATTCCAAAACATCCAATTTGTTGCTTTTTAGCAATTTTCATGTAGACTTGATTGTGTGTTTTGGATCATTGTCTTGCTGCATGACCCAGCTGCGCTTCAGCGTCAGCTCACAGACGGATGGTCTGACATTCTCCTGTAGAATTATCTGATACAGAGCAGAATTCATGGTTCCTTCTTTTAAGGCAAGTCGTCCAGGTCCTGAGGCAGCAAAGCATCCCCAAACCATCACACCACCACCACCATGCTTGACCTTTGGTATGATGTTCATACTGTGGAATGCAGAGTTTGGTTTTCGCCAGGCATTACTGGAACCATGTCATCCAAAAAGTTATACTTTTGAATCATCTGTCCATAGAACGTTCTTCCAAGAGTCTTGATGATCATCCAGGTGCTTTTTGGCAAACTTGAGTCAACTTTTAGGACGAGATGGGTCCCATTATGCCATTATGCCATAATGAGATGGGTCCCATTATGCCAAACAGAAGGAACCATGAATTCTGCTCTGTATCAGAGAATTCTACTGGAGAATGTCAGACCATCCGTCTGTGAGCTGACGCTGAAGCGCAGCTGGGTCATGCAGCAAGACAATGATCCAAAACACACAATCAAGTCTACATGAAAATTGCTAAAAAGCAACAAATTGGATGTTTTGGAATGGCCTAGTCAAAGTCCAGACCTAATCCCAATTGAGATGTTGTGGCAGGACTTGAAACGAGCAGTTCATGCTTGAAAACCCACACGTCACTGAGTTAAAGCAGTTCTGCATGGAAGAGTGGGCCAAAATTCCTCCACAGCGACGTGAGAGACTGATCAACAACTACAGGAAGCATTTGGTTGGAGCCATTGCAGCTAAAGGTGGCACAACCAGTTATTGAGTGTAAGGGGGCAATTACTTTTTCACACAGGGGAATTGGGTGTTGCATAACTTTGTTTATGAAATAAATATGTAATTGTTGTGTTATTTGTTCACTTATGTTCCCTTTATCTAATATTGGGTTTTGGTTGAAGATCTGATACCATTCAGTATCACAAATATGCAAAAGTAGAGAAAATTAGAAAGGGGGCAAATACTTTTTCATAGCACTGTAGACTAGGCTTACTACCCTGCCCTACTCGCCTACTTTATAAACTCAACACGTTATTATAACTGTGTTATTACACATGATGACTTGGCCCTGCTTTTGCCTTTTCTAATCATAATACAGTACTACAAAGTTGATGGTGAAAATAGAGACACTTTCAGCATCTCAGCAGGCTACTGGTAAGTTTGACTGGTAAGATAACCAGAGCAGAGGAGCCTTCTCCACCCTTTACCACAACTCTGTCATTAGTGCCAACACAAACTTCAGATGAGCACAAGGCACATCCTGAGCATGTACTAAGCTTTAAATAATATGGCAGATGAGTAATGAGGAGGATAATGACAGCCTCTTCATCAGTGTAGCTTGGGGTGATTGTTGTTGATGCAAACAAATTGCTGTTATGTTATGGAACTTCTCGCTGACAGAGAGGGATCCTCACAGCTTCATCACTGGGCACTGAGTCAGTCGTATATGCTATAGCTATTCCCCCATCCACATGTTCAAGCCACACGTTTGAGATGACTGTGGAGTGTTTTCCAACACAGCCAGAGTGGGGCCAGTGATCAGCACCACTCGGTGGTGAAGATCATGGACACTGGACAAAGCAATCAACTGCTGCTATCTGAGGAGGACTATGCCGAATAATATTGATTACATTACTGGTGCATATTGCTCTAGATTCTCCACACAGAGTCCAATTTGATTTACTATATGATTATTGGGGGCTATCGTTTCTTTTTCTCTTTGGGATGCTGAATGATAAAATAGTTGAAGAGACAGAAATGTGTTTATAATAATTCCTAATGAAGATAGTTGATCAGTCAAATAATATATCACAAATGTACAGAATACAATTGCACTGCAGTGCCACATGCCACACACGCTATGGTGCAAGTGACTGACTCAACCAGTAGGTGGTAGAAGCGATCTGTTTTCAAATGGTTCTAGGCCTACTGTATTTGGACTAGGGGATTTGTCTATGTTGCAGTGCTATGCATTACCTCATTCTATTCATTGAACAGTTCTTCTGTAAGGAAGACAAGGTCAGCAGAAGCATCACATCTGGTTTCTCCTCTTACTGTATTTTGAACCGACTCCTCCAGATGTATCTTCTCATTATAAGAGCTCCATAGGCAGGGAAATGCAATTATTTTCCAGCCAAGAGATTGATCATTCACTCTCAGTTGACCCCCCTGCTGAAATACAGAAGGTAAAACCTGGCTGTTCTTCCATAACATTACACATGGAACTGCACGACCGGATTTCCATCTGTGAAATCTAGAAAATAAATCTAGGAAATCTATGATGTCATTACAAACAAATGAGTCATTGTTTGTATACTAGGTAAAATACATAACCTCACTTTATCCATCTTATCCAATTGTTGTCAAATGTCATCATTTGCGGTGAATAACACACACGCTTCAGGTTACAATAACTGTTATATAATCATTACAATCACATCACATTTTTTAAGCATATAATGGTTTCTGTCTATTTTTTCAAGCAAACCTACACCAAGGCTTTGCGGAATGACTCACACATCAGTAATAAAGAGGTGATGTCATATCATTGCATGTTTCTTGTAAAGATGTGACTCACACATGATGTTCCCGCATGCCTCGACTGATACGTAAACATACCTAAGTGATGTTCAGGCAGCTACTGTAAACTGTTCAGAGTGCTCCATGTGTGCACCTATCCCCGTTCCACCCTGACCAATACACAACACTACCCACCTGTCAGTATCCAGTAAGTCAGACAGACATTTCCAACCGTAACATGACCGTGTGTGTACATGGCCAAGACCCTTGGTGCTCGCTGGCGCTGGCTCGGATGACACTGCCACCTTTTCTCAGCGGGATACAAATCCCTGTGGAATGACTCCCGACTGTCACCATGACTTAAGCCTATCTGTAGGGTCCTAACACGGTACTTTACGATTTGATATGTTTATGGCCTCAGATTACCATGTTTTAAAACCTTGGCTCTTAGGTAGTCAGACGCTGAAACTGGATCATTACGTTTTAATTAACAAGACAGGCTTTATTGGTGCTTTCCACAAAGACACCTGAGAGGTGGGGACTGGAGGGCCATGTTTGGGAACATACTCTTGTTTAGAGCCTGTTTTAATGGGGCTAAATGCACTTGCCGCCATTGACTATGGACTAAGTCAGCATGTCCTGTGATTTTACAAGGCAGAGTGAGTCCTCAATGTTCTTGGCAGAGCTGGAATTTTAATGAAGTCCTAGCAGCAGCATTGACGAGGTTGGCTTTTGTGAGGCGCTGACTATTCAGAGTCAATGTGGGAAAGACGCCTGCGACTCACCACAAGCCATACTGAGATCTGAAGCACTTTCAATCTGTATTCCCTAAACTTCTGCATACTGTACACACCTTATGAGGTGTACAGGAAATATGACAACTCATATTAGTGACAACACCAAAGTAACTTTAATGTGGTTGAATGGTTTTACCATTACCTCTGCCCTGACTTGTTGAGTTGGTCTGAGACTGGACTGAAATCCACATTGGGTAAGGAATGTGCTATCAATGCACAAAAGTCAAAACAATTTCCAGGACAAAGAAAATAGAGCATGTTCAAATGTCAACATAGCTTTTGTTCTTCACATTCCAAATAAGCATTTTGAAGCCTCCTCTCTCACTCCCACCAAGGCCCCTAAAGCTTATAAATAACTTATCAGGTGCCAAAATGGGGAACTGAAAGCTGGAGGTGTAGTCTCACAGCAACAGGAAGTCTGTTTATCACAGATTATAATTATTCTGTGTTAATATGAATCTGTGGTTTGAATAGTGTATGGAAGTCTTGAAGGTAAAATTGATTTGAACAGTGTTTACTGTAACTAGGGCAAGGAGTTTTGGTCAGACCAGGAAAAACTCTGGGTCATAGTTCTAGAAACAGTGTTTCCTATAGGGTTAGGACCTGACCTGACGTTACATAACTATAGCTACTGTAATCTCCCAGTAACACAATACATTATATGGATATGGTCTCATATCAAGTTCAACTCTGATAGGTGAGCTGTCTATGATTAGTTATTATAGGGATACCAGAAAGTCATTGAAAGGGATCACTTCTTCAGCTTGGTTTGAGTGCCTCTCTGTCCTGCTTCCTATCTCTACTCACATCCTTGATGCTTAGCAACGGCTGTGGAAAATCACATGATGTATGAATCATTCTCTTCGCCTCCTAGAGGTGTGTGTTAATCTCCACCTGCATTTGGCAGCTCTATGCTTCAACATAATTGTCTGTTTTATTTTAACTCTGTGCTGTTTCCCTAACAGTACAGAGAGGTACCACTCTAACCACTGTACTTCT